TTATGTAAATGGTGGCTTATTATAGCTCAATAAGCACACTTGTATAGCAAAAGAGAAATAAATTGTGTATAGGACACTTTGGATTTTACATACACAACACATACAAGGATGAACATAGATTCATTGTACAGGTTTAAGTATAGCACGAAAGCCATTTTGGTGCAGTGGTTAAGGCATCAGGCTAGAAACTGGGAGACGTGAATTCTAGTCCTGCTGAAGAATAAAACCAGCTGGGTAATCTTGGGCTAGTCATTTTCTCTGGACTTAGGAAGAAGGCAATGGCATAACTTAACAAACTGTAAGGACTTGTTCGGGCAGTTGCTGAAAATTGGGCATGACTGAATGGAGAAAAAAAGCAGAGCATAAAGAATTAGTTTAGTGATTGGAATTAAGTTAGAAGTGAAGAAAAAAATAAGTTGTGAAACTTTCTTGGAAGGAGAGGACAATATTTTTCTTCTTCTCCTTGTTCGTGGCCTATATAACATATACAGACACACAATCATATTATTAAAAAATATTAGAAATTATTAATAAAACTTACCATCTGCTGCATTCTGCTGTTCCTCCATCTGTTCCTCCTGTCGCAATTCATTCTCTTCATTTTGATCATTTGGTTGCTGGTGGTTATTATGGTGAATATTGGCATTATTGTTCTGGTGATTATTATTGTTATCATTTTCATTGTTGGAGTTCTGGTTGCTCACCAAAGCAGAGGAAACTCCAATTCCTGTACCTGCACTCAGACCTACACGAGCACAACCCTGAAATACATTAAAGGGTTACTGACCGACAACTCACAAAAGTTACAGTATTAATCAAAGATCACAAAATTACAGAAAACTGTGACATTTGAATGCAAAGTGACTGTTTCTGACTCTTCAATGCTCTTCTCTAGAGAAGACCGAATACTTCTGAAATGGCAGTAAACCCTTCTTGATGATAGGCTGTATAAACACGGATGCTTTTCGCTGTGTTGACACTGTTCTTTTATCTTTGTATATTATCTTAATATGAGGATAAATAATACTTTTTAGCATTAAGGAAGTACCAAAGCAGCTTCTTTGAAGCTTCATTGCTGACTTACTTTGAAAAAAAAGAAGCTTTTTTGCAGAGTTACTTCACGCTGGATAGAAAAATTTGACTATTGTAACCTGACCTGGTTTGGTAATGGCTTTGCTGACAATGAAGTTATTTTGTCCAGTATTGGTTCACAACACATGGCCCGCTCCTTCCCAGCCTGAGTTTTGCAGATCTTCAGAAGGTAAGTGAGGGATTCTGAGGGTCGTTGAAGAGGACTATTTGGAATCCGGTGAGTCCAATGCCTTTAGGGACCTAGCAGTGCAGGATATTTTTTGGGGGGNGAATAACACATATGTGCGAGGGGAAACTTTTACCTTTTACATATGAGATATACTGATACCGAAGTGTTGTAAAGATGAAAATTGTGATACAAAATGAGGAAAATTGCTTAACAAAAATTACCCCCAAAAAGGTGCGGGATGGGGTTAAGTGTCCTCCTTGCTCCCTCCAGAAGAGACAGAGGTCCCTTTTCTTTTCCCTCCTGCCCATCACCTGCCCATCGCCCTTCACGGGGCCCCAAAAAACCGCTGAGCATTCCTCTTCAGTCCGATAATAAGTAGGCCGCCGGTGCTCAGGCCAACAAGACACGGGGAAAAGGGCTGGTCATTCAAGAGCGTCATATTTTTTTACCCATCCCCCGAGGGGCTGCTCCCCTCTACTGACATCTCTGGGTTGTCTCACCAGCCTGTCCGGAAAGGGGGAAGGTCAGAAATCAGCGCTGACCCCTCCAAAACAATCTGCCGTAAGACAACACCTCCACCCCACCCACCACCCCGCCTCGAAAGCAACGGCAGAAACAGCCCTGGCTGCCCAACCGTCAACTGCCCTCCCTCAGAGCATCATCGGCGACCAAGTCTCAACCTGTCCCCCCGCGCCTACCTTTCCTCATTGAGACTCTTCTAATCCGAGCAGCTCAAGAGACGCTTCCCCCCTTCCTCTCCAATGCCTCACAACACTTCCGCTTCCTGTCTATCCCTCACCACTTCCGCAAACTCTGTCCCTCCTCCCCAAGAAAGACTGCAGACATACCCCCCACACACAAACATACAGAGAGAGGGAGACAAATGGCTCCCCAACCCTCACTTCCGGCACGGTAGAGACCAGATTTAGGTCCGGAGGAAAAGAAATTTATAAAAACCGTCGTTTTTTTCATTCCCTTTCTGCCTTTGCTCTTTAAACCGGATCCTCTATTAATCTACTATTACTATTACTTTTCTATCACCCATCTCCTCCCACTTATGATTGCAGGACTGTAANCCAGATTTTCAGAAAAAGGTGCGTCTTATACTCCGAAAAATACGGTACACCTCTTCGAACATATCAATTGGGTTTCCTTCTTCACCGCTATCATTACAAAAGATGGTTCCCAGTTATTCTAATGAATCTATTTTTCTGAAAGCCTCCATTTTCACAGGTGGCTAGTTACATAGAATAGTAAATATTATTAAGACTAAAAAAAATCCCTCTCAAATTGATATACTCCCTTTGTTACAGTACAGGTGAAACCCGGAAAAATAAAAATCAAGCATCTTGAAAACTAATACTAATTATTTCAGAAGTTTAGAGTGGGAGCATTGAAAAATGAAGATTTTTTTGTGACTGATCACAATGAGTTTGAAATCTATAGGTTTCAATGAAATAATTCCTCCCATTAGCAGAACTATCATTTCATGAATAGAAGTTTCCTCTGTTCATGAATTGAGTAGATATTAGTCATTGAAACATGATTGGTTATTCATTTAATGTTCAAACAATGCATTTAACACCCTCCTAGCTTTGTAATCAGGGGTTCATGATGCAGGTAGGTTTATATAGCTTTTCATAAAATGATTTGAAATACTTTATTAAAATATACTTTATATGAGGCTATTCCTGAGTGCTTTGTAAACTACTAGCATTTAAGTTCTAGGGTGCTCAATAACACTAATCTTGGTTTATATATGCACTGAATAGCAATTACATCCTAAGCTATACCCAATACATTATTAGTTTATAATCCCCTAAATAATCTAAAACCAAATTATTTGAGGAGCTGCCACTTTCAATACTTCCACCTAAGCTTACTATTCTTTGTGTTTTATGGAAGATCCCTTTCTTATGATTATAATAGGACTACAGACAGCTGAAAATAATTTTATGTAGAAGTTTTTTTTTAAAATGGAACCATTATGAGGACAATGTGTGGAAGTACATCTCTGACATTTTTAAAAATATTTGATTATGTATTTTCCAATATATGTCCAATATAAAATGTTAATGCCCTTGTCCTCATACAAATAATTATTATGGGTATTCATTACAACCACTATGGTTCATTTGCTTTTCCCCTAATAGTTGTGATTTTAATTTTTGACTAATTTATCATATTGCATTGTTCCACTGTTTGTTATTTGCATTGTAAGCCACTTTAGATTTTACAACGGAACAGTAATGCTTTCTTTCAGCACTATACAAATTAAAATAAAATGGTATTCTTAGATCAGTCATATAGGCTGATATGATGAAAATATACATAATCAGACATCAAAAGTGTCATGTGCACAACAAAAACAATCCCTAAAATAATTGATTTATTTAAGGAGAGAATATATGCAATTTATTGAGGGACTTTAGCACATGTTGGTGAGTACAATACCTGTGATCCAGCTACTTGGATTATGTAAATGAGGGCAGTTGTATATGACAAGATACTTAATCGAAGAGAATACTTCATTTACTGCTTTCATTCCTATGTCTGTGATAATGCCTGGATTTTCAACCACATCAGCTAGTCCATATTTCACCAGATCTGCATTGATCATCTTACCTAGATAGAGAGGAAAGGGGGAAAAAAAACTTTTTTCCCCATGACTTTATACAGCAATGCAATTTGTATACTGGCCACAGCTATATTAACTATTCACCTCTTGGTCCTAGAAAACAAGAATAGCAAAACACACACACACAGACACACAGACACAGACACACACACGTTACAAACCTAAGGACTGATCTATAAGAGCTAACTTAACAAACTGTGCTAAGGTTAAATTCTACCCAGGCCCTATTTTATTTCTGTTTTAAAAGACATTCAACAACAACCAACTTTGGCATAATTAATTATTCTAGTAATGTTAAAGAATATGACAGACGGGGCTGCAAAGTTGAGATATACAAAATCAGTAAGATGAAACACCAATATCCCATTACAGTTTCTGTGAAAAAATCTTTAGCAAATTTGTTATCTCCTTACTCTGCTGGCAGACACAAAGGAATAAAGCTAGGTGTAAAACTCTACCACAGGCCTGCATAATGTATAGCCTGCAAGCCACATATTATTAAAAAGTAACCAACTGACTCCCACCAAATGTTACTGCCTGTAGGAACGATCTACAGCTTCCAGCTAGTTTTCACATTCATGTCCATCTCAAAAGGCACGTCAGTACCTCTAGCTTTCATGGACACTGCCAGCTTTGCTGCTGCCATTGTGCTGTTAGCTGCCAAAGAGCTAACTGGCCCGCTAGCTATTCCTTTGTGACCCATGATTATTTTTAAGGCATGAATCTGGTCCTTGGCCCTTTGCAAATTGTGCAGGCCTGCTTTACTATATGCTCTTGCTAAAAAGACCCACCAGTAAATACTTTGGTTATTTCCTTTGCACATTCTTGATTAACCAGGTCTCATCAGACCGAGGTTTAATTCCCAAAAGAGAAATTCCCAATGATGGAAAGAGAGTTTTCTGCAGCTAATCTCAAGAAATGCTATCCAGGCCATGTATATATACTATTATAATCAAGATTCCTTCTCTAAATCCCAAGCAAGTTTGATGAGCAACCAAGACTTTAGGGTTGCCTCTAGTTTACACAAGAATGTATCTTAACATTTGTACTCCTTTTAGGCAAATAATAAAATCCAGATCTACCCTAGCTGCTGATAGATAATCAACAGAAAGAGTGAAGGGTTTCATACACTGTAACAAAAACTCATCAACATATCCAAGATGTAGTGTTTCAAACTGGGGAAATTCCAATTCGGCCATTTTTAGAGCAGAGAATACTCCATCTTTGGTTAGGGATGGCTGAATTCGTACTTCATGCAACCTGAAATAAATGAAAACCAAAGAAGGAAGTAAATGTTATCATGAGTCCTTTGATATTATTGTTCAAAGCAAAGCAACAACAGAATATTTTTATTACATCAATATTATTCTGTGGTAACATCTATTATGATATATATTACACAAATTAAATAAATAGAAAACAACCATGGCAAAAAAAACCAATACATCACATTTAAGAAAGCAAAACTGTATGAATGGTAATTGGTAAATGGTAATGATAAAGAGAATAGTAGTTATGGTAATGATTGAAGTCTGGGAAACAGCCTCTTGTCAGTCAACAGGAGTGCTGATTTACCCACCAGCTTATCAGGTACTTAAGAGCCAGGGACCTGGCAGTACAAGAAAACAACGGGCCAACAACTTAATCACCTTCGTGCAGCAGTTATGATGAGGTAGCCAAGATCAACTTCCAAAGCATTCTTGCAAGCTCCTAGAACTATAGTGTGCAAATTTCTGAAGCCCCCTGAAAATCCCAAAAATAAAAAAGTATTAATTTCCATTGTGTTTCAGAAGCAATGATCATAGAAGAAATGTTGGAAGCAAAATTGAAAACCCAAACTTTTTATTTCTACTTTAACATAGTATATGACTACTATGACTTAACAGATAATAATCTCAGTATTGGAAAATATGTGGCTTTGGAATATATGAAGCACTTTGAATTTTTCCTGAAAAAATAAATTCTACAGTCACAAACACATGCTCACCAGGAAAATATTTTATCCCTTAAGCAGCCCAAAGGGAAGTATTAACTCCTTAAATTATAAATATAAGAATTCTGTATATTCAGATGCACCTAATATTTTTTAATACTAAAATCAACCTATATCTGAATATACTAGCAATATTTTCTATAAAAGAGAAGATGAAGAAATAATGGAAACATAAGAACTGTTCTTAGTTGCAAAGAATTTACATACCAGATCTCCAGCTGTCTTCTACAACATGCTGAATAAGACCTCCAAGAAAAGGAACTCGAACCAATTCTAAATGTTCCAGGTTTCGAGCAGAAGCTAAGCCAGTGACTAGGGGAACATACTTCAATGAGTTTGTGGGTCCTATAAAAGAAACAAAAATTGTAATTCTCATTCAAGGGCAGCTAAATAGAAGCATAGAAATGTTAGCATATATTTTCTTTTAATAACATTTCAAGCATTTTCTTTCATGTGACAAAACTGTTACTTCTCTATAAAGAATGTAAAAGCAGAAAATGCAAAGATACAAAGATATTTTGCCTACATCTGTACATTCCTTTAATTCTACAAAGTCATGGTAGATTATTTTTGATATATAGGATAAATTTTTTCGGTTTACCTCCAAATGACATAACTAAATCTTGCGTCATACAGAAGGCAGCTGACACAACTTATCAGAAAAAAAAATTACTTCAATTTTCAAACTTTGAACAAGGAACAGCAATTTTAACAAGAAGTATTAATCATATTTGGAGCATAGACTGATACTGACATTACATGTTAATAATTAACAATCAATCTCTTTACAAATGCTTGAAATGTTTAGAAAATTGTACTATATTTCAACCTAGCTAATGTTTGAAACAGCAAGACTGCTTTTACCTGCACAATTTCTCATGACAAAAGTGCGTAAGCTGTTGCAAAGGAAATCCTTAAAAGGTTGCGGTTTGGTGAGCCTCACCCATTTCAGGTATAGATGCCTCAGCATTGGAATACAAGGAATGTCAGGGACATTAACTCCTAAAAAAATATAGAGCAGCAAGCTGTGGTCAAAACCAGACATTTCAGACAACAGGCAGTTCTCAACTTATGACAANCTCCATCAGTTCCATCAAATTTCAAGAATATTTCTCAAGCTTTAAGAAACAAAATGTACATACCGTGAATGAACATCATTTTAGGGCAGTCTTTCAGCACCAGGTCTGTTATGCCGCAGTTAGTCAAGGTGATTCCAACAAGGTTTTTTGATTTTAGTGTCAAAACCTAGAGAATTTATTTTTAGAGTTAAAAAAATTACTAAAAGGACCATGCCAAACCAATTAACCAGTCTAATTATTAATTGCCAGGACACCTAATGTTGAATGACAAAATGTGGGCAGCACTGAAAATAGGGATCTATATCTGAAATTCTCTTTTCTTAGAAAATCTTTCTCCTTCTCTACCGGCATCTGCAATGTTCTTAACTGGAAAACACTGGCTACTCTGACTGATACTGAAGTGCAAATTATATGCAATCAACTTAGCAAGAAAATATATTTAGAAAAGACAAGTTTCAATCAACCTGAATGATTGATTGTCCATAATTCTGACCCAAAGTACTCACCTGGATGTGGTCATCCTCAATCACAGGATCACTGGTGCTTGTGGATTTGTCAGCTGTCCGTTTTCTCTTCACTGAATTCCGAGATTTTGGTTTGGCTGCTTCTGAGAAGGCAAAATAAATGATTAGTTACAATTGTGACACTTAAATACTGACAATAATGATGTATCTTGATGATTTCCTTAAAAATTGCTAGACAGAATTAAGATTCCAAAATCAATTTCAGAATGGTGGCCAGTCAATCTGACAAAATATTAAGAACTAGTTCTTTTGGAAAAAATACATTTTAGCCTACAGTAGTATAGCTTTTATTGTCATTGTACATCATGTATACAATGAAATTGGTCTACCTGAAATACAAGAAAAAAATGAAGAAACAATAAAATATGTTAAAATGATACCAATAGGCTGAAGTTTTACCAAGTTTCATTTAGTCTGTTGAGGAAAGCAGAAAAGTTCTGCATAGTATTTTCTTTTTATGACTTCACACAAATGGGATTACATGTGTACTGTACAATTAAATAAAATGACATGATTCTAAGTTTAAGTTACGTAATGCAGACTTCTCAGGATTAAATATTTAAATCTATTCATACATTAGAGAATGTGAAACTGCTATATCAAACCTCAGATTACAGAAGGAATACAGAGTAACTAATAATTAACTGATATTTACTTCATAATAATGATAATTTCTGCCAAAGTGTTGGAAGTACCACTTCCCAAGAGATTTAACTGTTTGTCATGTCACTTTATAAACAAACGTAAATTCTACAAGCCCAGATGTAATATCACAGATACGATTCATAGCAAAAATGCCCTGGAAATGCTGATGAAAATTATGTATATGTGCATATGAATACATATATCTATATACACATACACAAATAATGGCATTTTGCGAACAGCTTTACAGTGAAAGAAACATACATCTGAAGAGAGAAAATTCTCCTCAAAATTGAGCATTAGGATTACATTTCCTTTTGTTTAATCCAGTTCATATTTTGTACCTCTACAACTGAAGCATACATGTTATTTTACTGTCTGTATAACTGCAATGAAGCAACAATGTGAGATGACAATCACTGTGATAGAAATCATTTGAGTTCCACATAAACAATGATGAAGGCATTCAAAATTCCTATTGTCATTTTCATTAAAATACAGTACCATTCATTTGGAAAATAAATAATCACGTAAGAAAGATGAAACATGCAAGAATTACCCTTGGGTATTTATTTCCCTGAGTATATATTTTAAACTGAAGAACTGACTATAGAACATGGTTAACAATATCTCTGTCATGTGCTGACAGTATTTCTTGGTTCACCTTATTAGGCAGGTGTTCAACATTGCTAAAATTCTTAGGGAATGTACAGTACAGGTTCTGTGGGAGTCATATCAAAGTGGTTAGAGAATATCATTGAAAGAACTATACTGAGAAAACAAGTATAGAACTACAATGCAATACCATAATAGGACTCCTATATGAAATCAACTCAAAAATGTCATTCCAAAGCAGCTTTCGTTCTTCCATTTCTATTCACATGCAGATCTGTTAATACAAGAATTGGGATAATAATTTTAAGAAGGCATTTCTGCTATTATAGTAATATATCACTTTTGTATTCTAGACTCCTTTGGAGCTAGGCTGACAAAGCAAGACACTTTATACAAGACAGTAATTTACATAATGTAATCCTACCTGGCTGAGACACCAATGGCACATGGGAAAGTTTACTTCTGGCTCTTGTTAAAGGCCTACGAGGATAATCTTCATTGTATTCCACTTCAAACGGTGCTTGTTGTACACTACTGCCCTCCTCATTAGCAGTCCCACAGACACCCTCATTAGTCCTCCCATTGCTGCCTTCCCCTGAGGAATCAGAGTTTGCTAATGTTCT